TTTTTATGTAGCAGAAGTCATGCTGGATTGACAGCATGGCCAATGTATTCAACATTTTCTGGCCCATGGTGTTGCATGTGAATGTTTATCCTTGTAAGCTTGGAAAAGAGACCCTTAAACCCAGACCTGGACATCATACCATCTCCACTGAATAGCAGGCTAGTGATTGCTTTGCAACGCTTGCAGTTAGCCACTGATTCCTTCCAGACCACTCATTGATGAATTTGCGATTTCCAACTTGTTGTGTAATGTTTATGAGCACCGATAAGTTTTATCTATCATTTCTCTTCATATGACAAAATTGAAAAGGATTTGCCAGTAGATTGTCGACTTGATTCATGATGATGACTGCTACAGACCCCTTGACTTTTTCCACATTTTCTTACGTTACAGCCTTATCCAAAAATGGATTAAATAAATAAAAAGTCCTCATCAATCTACACACAATACCCCATAATGACAAAGCAAAAACAGGTTTTTAGAAATGTTTGCTAATTTATTAAAAATAAAAGACAGAAATACCTTATTTACATAAGTATTCAGACCCTTTGCTATGAGACTCGAAATTGAGCTCAGGTGCATCCTGTTTCCATTGATCATCCTTGAGCTGTTTCTACAACTTGATTGGAGTCTACCTGTGGTAAATTAAATTGATTGGACATGATTTGGAAAGGCACACACCTGTCTATATAAGGTCCCACAGTTGACAGTGCATGTCAGAGCAAAAACCAAGCCATGAGGTCAAAGGAATTGTCCGTAGAGCTCCGACACAGGATTGTGTCAAGGCACAGATCTGGGGAAGGGTACCAAAACATTTCTGCAGCATTGAAGGTCCCCAAGAACACAGTGGCCTCCATCATTCTTAAATGGAAGAAGTTTGGAACCACCAAACTGAGCAATCGGGGGAGAAGGGCCTTGGTCAGGGAGGTGACCAAGAACCCGATGGCCACTCTGAAAGAGCTCCAGAGTTCCTGTGTGGAGATGCGAGAACCTTCCAGAAGGACAACCATCTCTGCAGCACTCCACCAATCAGGCCTTTATGATAGGGTGGCCAGATGGAAGCCACTCCTCAGTAAAAGGCACATGACAGCCCTCTTGGAGTTTGCCAAAAGGCACCTAAAGACTCTCAGTCCATGAGAAACAAGATTCTCTGGTCTGATGAAACCAAGATTGAACTCTTTGGCCTGAATGCCAAGCGTCATGTCTGGAGGAAACCTGGCACCATCCCTACGGTGAATCATGGTTGTGGCAGCATCATGCTGTGGGGATGTTTTTTTCCCTCATCAATCTATACACAATACCCCATAATGACAAAGCAAAAACAGGTTTTTAGAAATGTTTGTGAGAAAATAAACAATATTTTCAAATACAATTTACATAAGTATTCAGACCCTTTACTCAGCACTTTGTTGAAGCACCTTTGGCAGTGATTACAGCCTCGAGTCTTCTTGGGTATGACGCTTGGCACACCTGTATTTGGGGAGTTTCTCCCAATCTTCTCCGCAGATCCTCTCAAGCTCTGTCAGGTTGGATGGGGAGCGTCGCTGCACAGCTATTTTCAGGTCTCTCCAGAGATGTTAGATCAGGTTCAAGTCTGGGACCTGGCTGGGCCACTCAAGGACATTCAGAGACTTGTCCCGAAGCCACTCCTGCTTTGTCTAGGCTGTGTACTGAGGGAGCAGGTTTTGGATTAGGTTTTCATCAAGGATCTCTCTGTACTTTGCTCCGTTCATCTTTCCCTCGATCCTGACTAGTGTCCCAGTCCCTGTCGCTGAAAAACATCCCCACAGCATGATACTGCCACCACCATGCTTCACCATAGGGATGGTGCCAGGTTTCCTCCAGATATGACGCTTGGCATTCAGGCTAAAGAGTTCAATCTTGGTTTCATCAGACCAGAGAATCTTGTTTCTCATGGTCTGGGAGTCCTTTAGGTGCCTTTTGGCAAACTCCAAGCGGGCTGTCATGTGCCTTTTACTGAGGAGTGGCCACTCTACCATAAAGGCCTGATTGGTGGAGTGCTGCAGAGATGGTTGTCCTTCCGGAAGGTTCTCCCATCTCCACAGAGGAACTCTGGAGCTCTGTCAGTGACCATCGGGTTCTTGGTCACCTTGCTAACCAAGGCCCTTCTCCCCTGATTGCTCAGTTTGGCCGGGCGGCCAGCTCTAGGAAGAGTCTTGGTGTTTCCAAACTTCTTACATTTAAGAATAATGGAGGCCATTGTGTTCTTGGGGACCTTCAATGCTGCAGAAATGTTTTGGTACCCTTCCCCAGATCTGTGCCTTGGCACAATCCTGTCTCGGAGCTCTATGGACAATTCCTTCGACCTCATGGCTTGGTTTTTGATCTGACATGCACTGTATTTTATTTTTAATAAATTTGTAAAGATTTCTAAAAACCTGTTTTCGCTTTGTCATTATGGGGTATTGTGTGTAGATTGATAAGGTAAATGTTTTATTTAAACCTTTTTAGAATAAGGCTGTAACGTAACAAAATGTGGAAAAAGTCAAGGCGTCTGAATACTTTCCGAATGCACTGTACGCTGCTGCCTCTGTTTATCATATATCCTCATGCCTAGTCACCTTACCCCTATACATACAGTTGAAGTCGGAAGTTTACATACACTTTGGTTGGAGTCATTAAAACTCGTTTTTCAACCACTCCACACATTTCTTGTTAACAAACTATAGCTTTGGCAAGTCGGTTAGGACATCTACTTTGTGCATGACACAAGTACTTTTTCCAACAATTGTTTACAGACAGATTATTTCACTTATAATTCACCGTATCACAATTCCAGTGGGTCAGAAGTTTACATACACTAAGTTGAAAATGATGTCATGGCTTTAGAAGCTTCTGATAGGCTAATTGACATCATTTGAGTCAATTGGATGTGTACCTGTGGATGTATTTCAAGGCCTACCTTCAAACTCAGTGACTCTTTGCTTGACATCATGGGAAAATCCAAAGAAATCAGCCAAGACCTCAGAAAAAAAATTGTAGAGCTCCACAAGTCTGGTTCATCCTTGGGAGCAATTTCCAAACGCCTGAAGGTACCACGTTCATCTGTACAAACAATAGTACGCAAGTATGAACACCATGGGACCACGCAGCCGTCAAACCGCTCAGGAAGGAGACGCGTTCTGTCTCCTAGAGATGAACGTACTTTGGTGCCAGAAGTGCAAATCAATCCCAGAACAACAGCAAAGGACCTTGTGAAGATACTGGAGGAAACAGGTACAAAAGTATCTATATCCACAGTAAAACAAGTCCTATATCGACATAACCTGAAAGGCTGTTTAGCAAGGAAGAAGCCACTGCTCCAAAACCGCCATCAAAAAGCAAGACTACGGTTTACAACTGCACATGGGGACAAAGATCATACTTTTTGGAGAAATGCCCTCTGGTCTGATGAAACAAAAATAGAACTGTTTGGCCATAATGACCATCGTTATGTTTGGAGGAAAAAGGGGGGGCTTGCAAGCCGAAGAACACCATCCCAATCGTGAAGCACGGGGGTGGCAGCATCATGCTGTGGGGGTGCTATGCTGCAAGAGGGACTGGTGCACTTCACAAAATAGATGGCATCATGAGGAAGGAAAATTATGTGGATATATTGAAACAAAATCTCAAGACATCAGTCAGGAAGTTAAAGCTTGGTCACCAATGGGTCTTCCAAATGGACACTGACCCCAAGCATACTTCCAAAGTTGTGGCAAAATGGCTTAAGGACAACAAAGTCAACGTATTGGAGTGGCCATCACAAAGCCCTGACCTCAATCCTATAGAAAATGTGTGGGCAGAACTGAAAAAGCATGTGCGAGCAAGGAGGCCTACAAACCTGACTCAGTTACACCAGCTCTGTCAGGAGGAATGGGCCAAAATTCACCCAATTTATTGTGGGAAGCTTGTGGAAGGCTACCCGAAACGTTTGACCCAAGTTAAACAATTTAAAGGCAATGCTACCAAATACTAATTGAGTGTATGTACATTTCTGACCCACTGGGAATGTGATGAAATAAATAAAAGCTGAAATAAATCATTTTCTCTACTATTATTCTGACATTTCACATTCTTAAAATAAAGTGGTTATCCTAACTGACCTAAAACAGGGATTTTTTACTGGGATTAAATGTCAGGAATTGTGAAAAACTGTGTTTAAATGTATTTGGCTAAGGTTTATGTAAACTTCCGACTTCAATTGTATCTAACCCTACCACTCCAGTCTCCCTGCACATTGTAAAAATAGTATTGTAACTGACCCTGTATATAGCTTACTTACTTGTGTTCTTATTTCTGTTTCTCATGTGTTTTTGTTCTACTTGACTTATTATTATAGTACTACTGATATTGATTACTGCATTGTTGGGAAAGAGCAAGCAAGAAAGGCATTTCACTGTACTAGTGCACGTGACAATACAAATGTGAGACTTGATACAAATGCTTTACTTTCCTTGTTGGAACAGCAGTCTCTCGCCATTTGAGAATTTAATGCATTAAAATACTTGTTAAAGTATTTGAAGTGTCACCAAGAACTGTCCATTAAGGTAGTGTCACCAAGAAAGTCCTAGGGATGGTAGACAATAAATGTGACATTGAACAAAAGAGATCAAGTTAAATCATTGTAGATCCTGTCAACAAACCCACCCACCTATTGCATTACTCTCCTGTGTTAGAGGAACTTAAATATTGCGCATTAAAGTCCAACATCAAACAGTTTAATGATTTACCACAGGGGCCTTTTAACATTACACAACATTCATATTTGTTTTACCTTGGCAACGTGTCAGTAGTGGAATATCTGTAAACACAGCCCAATCATAAACGAACAACAAAAAATCTTACTTGATTTTATCATCATTTCATAAGTGACTGAGCTAATACAAGATACCCCACCTCCTGATAACAGTATTCAAAGCATTCATTGAGCAAAGTGGCATTTAGCAAATGTTGCTCTAAAAAAGGTATGATTTGGAAACATTGAAAGTATCCCAACACAATGAAAATTTATAACTTTAACCACAAGAAACTGTTTATTAAACAACTGTATTGCTATAGAGATGTGAATAAACTGCACAATGGTTAAATAAAAAAAGAAAAGCTGTAGGAAAAGCACTGCTTTTGAATATTCATAGTTACACATAGAACAAAGGCTTTCCCTGGAAACAGTCAGCCTTTTGGGAGGGGAATGGCATATTCGGCTGTCCTTCGTGTCCAATGTCCACATCCTGCTATGCTCGACAGTCCCACACGTTCCAGCACTGAAGCTCTCATAGTTCCTGCTGCTTATCTACCTCCTCCGGCGCTGCTCCCTCTGCTAGTTCTACCAGGGCCCTGCGACGCTCTGCCTCTGTCACCGTCATGGGATGCAGGGGGAAGAACCCAGCCAGTCCTACAGGAACAGAGATGGGAGGGATGACTTAGACCACATAGATTCCAAGGTAGCATTGAGACTTTAGTGGAAGTATTGAGTACAGTTAAAAGTATATTAGTTAGTTTATTAACCTGTGATTTAGTGTCTTTTGCATGATGTAGGCCTTACATTGGTTGTTTCAATAAACCTGGAAAGTGTGTGTTTTCATGGTGAGTGTAGAGGGAACACACCTAGAAGTTTGGCCACAGGCTTCGTTGGATGTGCACCACAGCCCATCCAGTACTTGATCCTGTCGGAGTTGAAGCTGACCAGTTTCTCATTGTAGATGTTTGGCAGGGGGTCATAAGAGCCCAATTGTTCTATGTATTTACTGTCTCGTGCTCGCTTGTTGTAAGCTGCCACAACGCGGTAGAAGGGTCTGTTAGACTGTTTGTGGCCAGCCATTGCCAATCTGATGACAATGTGTCCTCCATGGTATGTCTTCAGTAGGAAGGATGCTGTAAAGACAATACAACAAAATCTGCAATTAAATTGCCTACCGCACGGCAAGCGGTACCAGAGCGCCAAGTCTAGGTCCAAGAGGCTTCTAAACAGCCTCTACCCCCCCCCCCCCCCCCCCCTCTTTTACGCTGCTGCTACTCTCTGTTTATTATCTATGCATAGTCACTTTAATAACTCTACTTACATGTACATATTACCCTAATTACCTCGACTAACTGGTGCCCCCGCACATTGACTCGGTACCAGTACCCCCTGTATATAGCCTCGCTATTGTTATTTTTACTGCTGCTCTTTAATTATTTGTTACTTTTATTTCGTATTATTTTATATTATATTTTTTGTGTGATTTTTTTTGGTATTCTTTCTTATAACTGCATTGTTGGTTAAGGGCTTATAAGTAAGCATTTCACTGTAAGGTCTACACCTGTTGTATTCGGCGCATGTGAAAAATAAAATTTGATTTGATTTGATTTATGATGTACATTCCATTAAAGGTACATTAGCCTACTTATTAGAAACATCACTGTGGTATCTAACGTTAGCTATACCAATCATTGAGGCTAGCCTAGCTAGCTACACAGTAACGTTACAGCCATATCGGGTTGACGTGTAGGCATACTACTTACTAGTACTACTCCTGCTTGCTAGCTAGCCCATGTTCCCACTGACAGTGTTAGCTAAATAGCAACCGAATCATACTTACATAGACGGACCATGTTTATGTATACGCTGCAAAAAGAGGTCAAACGAATATGTAAAAGCTCAATAACGTTTTCTATATTACATAAAGCAGTAACGTTACTTGTAATTTCTAATGTGACATTCGTAAGGGTGCAGCCATTTTTAAACAGGAAGTTATGTTCCTTGAAGCGTTTCCTCTCATTTTTGTAACTGTCCACCAGATGGCGCCAGTGGACTACACTGCACTGTCCGAGCTCTTGAGGGGAGTTATCAGCACGACGACAAGGACATTTTTGCATGTAAAGTTGTACACTTTACACTTGTGACAGTTTCAATGGATTTAAGATACAGTCACACACATCTAAAGAAACATCATGGCCCAGGATGTGTATCAAAATCAATACATATTGATTGAAATATTTCTATTGCCAATCTAATTGAGATGTAATGTTCAGTTATTTTTCAGACATTAACGATATAAAATACGCTCATTTGTTGAATTGTAGTAGGCTATCAGGTCTGGTTAAATGAAACAGTAGACTCTAAAAGTATACTGTATTTCATTGAGTAAAGTGATGATTGCAATTATAAAATATGTTCAAAAAGTGCTTAATGCCTCTGATATGATTTTCATTTAAAGTTAGCCCAATGCAGTCCTCTCCTCATTCTAGATGTCTTTAGATGATTACACAAGTTCTGCTCTCGTTCCAGCCACTGCAACAGCAGAGTAGAAACATTGATTTCCTGAGAGTGACCCATGAATAGAGGGGTCAGTGCTTTGCATGATGTACAACGGGTGCACTGATATTTGTTCCCTTTGGGAGCCCAACTCCTTCCCTGTTGGAACATGGTGATTTCACACTCCTGTTGTGGAGAGATGCTGTTCCTGTGTGTGTGACAAACACATGGTTTTCTCTAAGGAGGGGTCAGACTCTGATAGCCCTTTGTCTCTGAATTAACACATAGTTATATTTGATACCAGTTTGATAACAGATACCACATACAGGTAACTGCCAAAATAAAGGAAACACCAACAGAGTCTTAATAGGACGTTGGGAAACTAAGAGCCGCCAGAACAACTTCAATGCGCCTTGGCATAGATTCTGCAAGTGTCTGGAACTCTTGGAGCAATGGGACACCGTTTTTCCATGAGAAATTCCATAATTTGGTGTTTTGTTGATGCTGGTGGAAAACGCTGTCTCGGTCGCCGCTCCAGAATCTACCATCAGTGTTAAATTGGGTTGAGATCTGAGGGGTATCCTACCAAGCAGGTTTGAGGAGTTAGCAAGGTAACTTTGGACATCTCTGAGTTCAACTCGGGATAACCAGTCATACGAAATTGGCTCACCTTTTAGCCAGGTAAATTTCTATGGCAACGAATCCTTCAGAACTAACCTGCTCCGGGGCAGGCTAACTCACAGCTAACTCCACTTACCCTAAATTAAATAACTGAGCCACGAGTTGAGGACCAATGAAATCAGATTCCCTCCCTCTTGCAAAGATTGCGTCATCATCCACTTCATTTGAGGAAGACGACTGAGAAAATATTTTATTAATGAAATGTTTTTTTGTGTGTTAAAAAGTTGTAATGTGAAAATATATCACATTATGCATTTAGTAATGACAGAGATCCTTTAAAAACTTAATTCACAGTCATAGCCGCAAGATGTAGGGGTGCTGAGGGTGTTGCAGCACCTCCTGATAAAATTAGTGCACTAGGCCTTTATTACTCCTGTATGAGCGTAGAAGAATACCCATCAGCAGAGCAGAGAAAAATACTCCTCAGCACCTGCACCCTAAAACATCTTCCCGTCGCCATGTGCACAGTAACACTTTTTATATTTTATATATATTTTTATTTAATCATAAAAAATAAAAAGTTTAAAAAACATATATACAAAAATTGCCCCTTTTTCGTGATATCCAATTGATAGTTACAATCTTGTCCCATCGCTGCAACTCCCGTACGGACTCGGGAGAGGCGAAGGTCGAGAGCCATGCGTCCTCAGAAACACGACCCTGCCAAGCTGCACTGCTTCTTGACACACTGCTCGCTTAACCCGGAAGCCAGCCGCACCAATGTGTTGGAGGAAACACCGTATAACTGGCGACCGTGTCAGCGTGCATGCGCCCGGCCCGCCACAGGAGTCGCTATAGCGCGATGGGACAAGGACATCCTGGCCGGCCAAACCCTCCCCTAACCCGGACGACGCTGGGTCAATTGTGCGTCGCCTCATGGGTCACCCGGTCGCGGCCAGCTGCGACACAGCCCGGGATCGAACACGGATCTGTAGTGACGCCTCAAGCATTGCAGTGCTTTTAGACCGCTGCGCCACTCGGGAGGCCCCACAGTAACACTTTTGTATGACTTACTCAAATAATTGTATCGATAGGAGTGGGGAAAAGGGTGCTTATGGTTGTGCATTGATAAGCACACCAAAGTCGGATTTAAGGATAAGTAATCAAATAAAAAGATGGCACTTCTAAAAAATGTGACACTGACTTGCCCATAGATTCATGTTTCAGCATTGTCTCAATGAAGAGTTCGGCGTTCGACTAGCCATATGTGACATGTACAGGCAGTTACAAGCCTGCTAAGTTCCCGGCAGGCGGACGAGCAATATCCACCGTCGTAGTTTGGATGAAGCCTGAGCTGGAATGTGAAGCTAAGTGATGCTGGTTATCTTTAGACAACCCAAAGTAGATCTAGCTTGCTTCATAGGATACCCCTCTGGTGACTGTGACACACACACACACACTCAGGTCATTCTCACGAAACTGTCCAAAAAAATCTCAAGTGTAATTTTTTCACAAAAGTTCCTCTTGAATCACTGAGATTAGAATCTGTACTTTTTTCATAATCATTATTACGTTTTTTGATCAGATATTATGCAATTCTCATTACGTAACAGTTTTCGAAGTACAAAACAGTAATAAACAAATCTATATATCTAATATTTTTGAACATGCTCTACTATTGAAAAGGCCTGAGTTTAACATAACACTCAAAACATCTATATTTCAAATGAAATTATGCAATTATCATAAAATTAAATCTGATTTTTTCCCAATTTGGCCTCTTTAGCTGTTTCGGTAATGAGAAGGCCAAGTGTAGTGGTCCTCTGTAGCTCAGCTGGTAGAGCACGGCGCTTGCAACGCCAAGGTAGTGGGTTCGATCCCCGGGACCACCCATACACAAAAATGTATGCACGCATGACTGTAAGTCGCTTTGGATAAAAGCGTCTGCTAAATGGCATATTATTATTATTATTATAGTAAAGGGGGTGTTTGAGAAAAAAAACCTCATTCTGAAGGCATATAAGCGAATAAATGTACTTAACTTGTGCTCATCTAAGAACTCCTCTTCTAGATGATGCATCATGGGTGAATAAAATTGTATTTAACAACTGATTGGAGTTTTTACAGGAACTTGAAAAAGTGTTATGGTAATGAGACAGATGTCCACAGATACTGTGTTTGTACTTAATAAATATTATAGTTTAATGTAAACTTCAACTAGTATACATATAGTTTTTATGATTTATGGACAAACTACAGCAACATATTTTGTGTTTTATTCAAATAAGTTAGGTTTTTCTAATGAACATTTGTTTTAACCCGAGAATGTAATCTGGACGTATTTCAGTAATGAGAATGTTGTTTGAAAATTTACAAAATTCTGGCGAAAATGTAAAATGCATTCGGAAAGTATTCAGACCCCTTGACTTTTTCCACATTTTGTTATGTTACAGACTTATTATAAAATGTATTAAAACGTTTTTTTCCCTCATCAATCTACACACAATACCCCATAATGACAAAGCAAAAACAGGTTTTTAGAAATGTTTGCAAATTTATTACAAATACAAAACATAAATTCACATTTACATAAGTATTCAGACCCTTTACTCAGTACTTTGTTGAAGTAACTTTGGCAGCGATTACAGCCTCGAGTCTTCTTGGGTATGACGCTACAAGCTTGGTACACCTGTATTTGGGGAGTTTCTCCCATTCTTCTCTGCAGATCCTCTCAAACTCTGTCAGGTTGGATGGGGAGTGTTGCTGCACAGCTATTTTCAGGTCTCTCCAGAGATGTTCGATCGGGTTCAAGTCCGGGCTCTGGCTGGGCCACTCAATGACAGTCAGAGACTTGTCCCGAAGCCACTCATGCGTTGTCTTGGCTGTGTGCTTAGGGTCATTGTCCTGTTGGAAGGTGAACCTTCGCCCCAGTCTGACGTCCTGAACATTCTGGAGCAGATTTTCATCAAGGATCTCTCTGTACTTTGCTCCGTTCATCTTTCCCTTGATCCTGACTAGTCTCCCAGTTCCTGCCACTGAAAAGCATCCCCACAGCATGATGCTGCCACCACCATGCTTCACCATAGGGATGGTGCCTGGTTTCCTCCAGACGTGACGCTTGGCATTCAGGCCAAAGAGTTCAATCTTGGTTTCATCAGACCAGAGAATCTTGTTTCTCATGGTCTGAGTCCTTTAGGTGCATTTTGGCAAACTCCAAGCGGGCTGTCATGTGCCTTTTACTGAGGGGTGGCTTCTGTCTGGCCACTCTACCATAAAGGCCTGATTGGTGGAGTGCTGCAGAGATGGTTGTCCTTCTGGAAGGTTCTCCCATCTCCACAGAGGAACTCTGGAGCTCTGTCAGAGTGACCATTGGGTTCTTGGTCACATCCTTGACCAAGGCCCTTCTCCCCTGATTGCTCAGTTTGGCCGGGCAGCCAGCTCTAGGAAGAGTCTTGGTGGTTCCAAACTTCTTCCAATTAAGAATGATGGAGGCCATTGTGTTCTTGGGGACCTTCAATGCTGCAGACATTTTTTGGTACCCTTCCCCAGATCTGTGCCTCGACACAATCCTGTCTCGGAGCTCTACGGACAATTCCTTCGACCTCATGGCTTGGTTTTTGCTCTGACATGCACTGTCAACTGTGGGACCTTATATAGAAAGGTGTGCCTTTCCAAATCATGTCCAATCAATTGAATTTACCACAGGTGGGCTCCAATCAAGTTGTAGAAACATCTCTTGGATGATCAATGGAAAATAGATGCACCTGAGCTCCATTTCGAGTCTCATAGCAAAGGGTCTGAATACTTATGTAAATAAGGTACTTCCATTTTTTATTTGTAATGAATTTGCACAAGTTTCTAAAAACTTGTTTTTGCTTTGTCATTATGATGTGTAGATTGAGGAGACATTTTTTTATTTAATCAATTTTAGAATAAGGCTGTAACGTCAAGGGGTCTGAATACTTTCCGAATGCACTGTATTTAAAATAAGACACTTTCCCAAAAACTAGGCATCTTTGTCCTCAGAATTATAGTTGATTTTAGCAGATGCATCATGGTTTTGTAACTCAATTTGCTACAGACATCCCCTACTGTGATCCTTTGAGACCCCTCTTTCAAAGTAACTGAGATTTCTTCTACCCATGGTAGCCAAAATAATGGCCAACTGAGCATTTTTATACATGATCCT